TTTTCCCCTTGTCCCTGACCTCCCTTCACCCCCTTCTTCCCTCCCTACCTTCAAACACTTTAATTCCATTTTTACATTTTCTCTTATTTTTGGAAAAAACTTTTTATGGAGCAAGTAAATAAGTACTGTTTCTTCTGCAGACATGGTAAATAATGCTACTTACTGAGGTTTTTGGGTTTTTTAAAATTTGGCAGCTAGAAAGCTTGGAGCCAAATTTGTGTAATAACACCATTTTTGGCATCAAATTATCTTTACTGTCCAGGTTCCTGTTATTTCTTCACCATCCATTATTTTCTTTCAGATTATGTGTACTTTGTAAGCATTACAGTTCTTTTGTATTCTTATTTTCCATTCCCCTACCCGCCCTTCAGTCCTTCCCCTCATTTATATAAGCTTTGCATTTTTTCCTTTTCTCATTTTCTTTCCCTTCATTACCTCACCTCCTTCCCTAGTTCCCCTATCTGAGCACTTTCTTCTCACTTCACAGTATCTATTGTATATATATACATAATATATGTATCATGTACAGGCACAAATTCCCTATAATGACTGTAATCGTTATGTACATCTAAAATGTACCAATAAACTTGTTTTTTTTGCGGGGGGTACTGGGGATCAGACTCCTCTAATGAGTACAGCTGTAGCACATCTAATGGCATCTATGCTGAAGAAAAAATATCCAGTGGTTAGAAATGGCCAAATCAGAAATACTTCTTGACATGGAGTTTTGGGTGAAGTCTCACATGAACGACGTGGGAAGCACCATTGAAATATATGATGAATGTTTCAACTTTAAATACTGTGGTAAAACATACGTTACCAGTAATTCCCCTCAGATTACTCCCCCTCGGTTTGATCACATTTATCTTGTCATTCTTGCTGCTTTCTGAAGCAGCTCTGGAAAGTCCTCCTTGGTATGAGGTCTGTAGTAGTCTGACCGAAACTACAGTGAATGCTATTACCAACTGCCAGCTGACAGGCTTGCAAAAGAAATAGTACCAGGTGTCTTCACCTACCTTATTTGCTGGATTTTGCATTGTATGACTTTTAAGCTCTTTCTCAAACTCAAAATGACCGTGGAAAGTAAAAGTTTGAGTCGATTCAGGACATCGAGGCAACCCTGACAACACAACTAAAGACAGTGAGTGATGATAACTGAAGAGGCTTAGAACAGAATTTAAATGATTTTTGTTTGTGGAAAACTAGGCATGGGGTCCAGAATCATACGTTGCTTTTTTTCATGAAAGTGAAGGCATGCTCTATATGAAAACTATTTCTCCCTGATTTTTAAATAAGGTAATTGACCATAAAATAAACTGACATGGTAATTTGGAAATATGTCGGTTTTAAAGTGTTCTTTGACCTAACAGTTCTTTACATAAATTCTCAGAAGTATTTATACAGGGGCACAAAGATTTGTATTTAAAGATTTGATCATACTCTTTTGTGAATTAGTGACAAACTGGAAGCTGATTTCATTGAAGGTTTTTATAAAAGCACCTGCTGATAAATAGAGTGACTGTGAGGCAAAGGAATTGAAACTCTTGAGTTACAAGTTGTATCTTAGACATGCATGATATTTGTGTAGCTGAGACACAAAACCTGTTGCTTTGAGTTCCTTCTTCAGTAGAGCATCATTCTGAAAATTTAGCCATCCTGGAGCCAGGGCTTTAGCTCAGTGTTTCTTCTGCTGCCTGCCTTGCCAAGCACAAAGTCTTGAGTTTGATCCTCAGTATCCCTCCCAAAAAACCATTTAGTCATCCTTATTCTTTAAAGAAATACTTTTAGTATATTGATCAGAAGTTGACGTTTTACCAACTACATACATAAGGAATTGTTTGACTCAGAAGTCCTGCTAAAGCCAGTGAAGAGAAAGGTGGTAGGACTAGGGGAAAGAGCCCACCCAGGTTGAGTTTTGTCGATTTTTCTTCAGAGCTTTATTTTCTACATTTTAAAGCACACCATACATGTTGAAAAAAGGGTACGTGTGTGTGTGTGTGTATGTACGTACGTACATGGCCTAGAAGACAAACCCAAGTTTGGCTCCTTACTACACCACCTTTGAGTATGACCATGGTCAAATGCTTTTCTCATCTCTAAGATGAGCATGTTGATAGTTTTTATCAGCTGGATCAGTCGTGTCAATGAGGTCATGCACAGCACCTCACACTGAGGAAATCCAAATGGATCTTGCCGTGCAATGCAGTATACTCCACTGAGTTATTTTCCTCTGAAACCTGATTTTTTACCTCAAGTGTACTTTTTGCATCTCACTTGAAAAATCTTGGGCCAGATCCCTGCTGCTCTTCAAAGTTTAATTTTTTTCAAGAAAAATCTCAACTGCTGCATAAATAACTGAAAGACTCAGCTAATTGTTTACCTATTTTTTATTTTAATAAGTTTTTAAGTTTCTTTCTAGTGCATGTTTTCTAAAAATTGGTAAATACTCCAGAAATAACAAAAGCATTAGTTATTTGAATACAAGAAGGAACTTTTACCTGTTTACCAATAAAATGGAAATGAGAAATAGCAACTCCTGGACAAGATAAAAATAAAGTACTTATGCAAATGAAACTGAAAATGCCAAAAAATTATCTAGGAATTATAAATCAGAAAAACTTAGTACCAAGTAACTTAAAACTCCACAATCAACTAGCTGCCTAAATACAGTTTACTAATTAGTTATTTCCAGTCAAATAATTAGGAAGAATGGTAAAATCTTATTGAGGACTAGAAATGGACAGGAATGTTTCGGGGGGTGGGTGGTTACTGAAACTTTGAAGAAACCCCCAGATATAGTACAAATAACATTCTGATCTGCCTTTTTTTTTTTGTACCAGAGATTGAACTCAGGACCTGGTGCTTGCCAGGCAGGCAGTGCCACTGAGCTACATCCCCGGCCTTCTAATTTGCTTTTTTACCTAAATACACCGATTATCTTCCCATGTCATTCACGTCCCTACCTCACAGTACACATACACTAGCTTTATCTCATCCCTACAGTGTACATGTACAGTTTCCCACTTTCTACTCATAATCCTCAGCTGAACCTTTGTACGTAAATCTTTGTGTCCTTGTTCAAACATCTCTATGGCATATATTCTTACAAGCAGAACTGCTGGGGCCAAGCACCAGAACTATTTCATTTTATATTTTATGTTAGGTTATTTTATTTTGACTGGGTCTCACTTTATAGTTCAGGCTGGCCCTGAACTCATTATTTGGCTCAGACTGGCTCTGCCTTCCTGAGTGCTGGGATAACAGTGTGACCCACCACACCCAGCTGTTTTAATATAGGGTTCAGGCTGGCCTCAAACTAGCAGCTATCCTCCTGCCTCAGCCTCTCAAGTGCTGGGACTACAGGCATGTGCCACCACAACTGGCCAAAACATTTTATGTTTTGTTTGGTTTGGTTTGGTTTTTTGAGACAGGGTCTCACTATGTAGTTGAGACTGAACTGGAACTTACTATGTAGCCCAGGCTGGTCTTGAACTCACAGCGATCCTCCTGCCTCAGCCTCCCTAATGCTGGGGTTACAGGCGTGCGCCACTACGCCCGGCTTTACCTTTGTTATTTAAAGGACTGAACTCAGGCTGTAAGTTTGGTGGTAAAAGTCATGGTGTCATTTACTAACAATAAATGACAGTCTGTTCTATACCTAGTAAAAATGTCAGAACCCGCTTTTGCTGGGTTTTTTTTTTTAGTATTCTCAAAAAATGCCTAAAATAATCAACATTCTAAATAGTTCCCTGGTTTGAGATTTTAAAAATAAAACTAGTTGCATACTTTTGTTCAAGACATAGTGTTTAGGTTAAAAACAATTAAACAGGAGCTGTTTCATAATTGTGTGCACATGTTACAGCACTGATGGGTTAAACATTACCTAGAAACTTCCACAGTAGCAGCAATGGTTCGAGAGAATCTGTGAAGTGTTTATCTCGTCATTCATATGTATATTCCTTGCAAACATCTTGATAGCTCTAAAAATGTCAGATTAGTTGCATGTCGTTTTTTTTTTAAACAAATGCATTGGTATTTTATTATTTCAGTTGTAGATATTCCAGTATCTCTTGGAGTACATTCCTTGGAATTAACTTACCCTTGGAAGTGCTTTAACTATTGTTAGAAGGTGAACAACATATAAACTGCAAGAACCTGATTACTGTTCCTGCATTTGGAACTCTGAGCTCATGTGTTTCTGAACCTCAGCTGTCCCACTTAGGGATACGCTGATTAAGCTCTTGTATGGTGCGTGTTTGTTGGCCCTGGCAGAATGAGTATTTAAGGACACTAAGGATGGACACAGTGGTTTGAGGTGATGTAGGAATTGAGGTATACAGATAAAATCTATGTTATGACTTTTTAGGAGTAAGCTTCAAAATGGTTTTCCAATGTGTGTAAAATGCTGAGGGAAGGCAGATGAAATTATATGGAAAAGTATCTTTTGGCATTTTACTACTAAAATGAATTCTCTTCTAGTCTTGCCTGTGCTTGTGTATGAGTGTTAAGTTTGCACATGACTTAGTCATATATAATGAGATTCAGGGTTTTTTCTCTTAGAGAACAGTTCACTGTGTATAAGAAGCAAAACTTAAATGAGTTGGTGTCCTTCAATGCTGCCATGTTTGTTGATGTATAATCCAGAATTTCATTTACTTGTCAAGAAACTACCATGGATATAGAGGTTAGGAGATCTTAGTTTTTAATGCAGTTTGTCCCCTCTTTTCTTTGTAAACTTTGTCTACCTATCCTTTAAACCCATAACAAGTGACATTTAAAATTTTCAATACAATTGCGTAAAGTAAAATTTTAAATACAAATGCTTTCAGTATGTGCATTTATGAGACCTCCTAGATTTGCTAAACTCTCGTCAATGCGGTAGTTTTTCTTAAATTTTCTAGTATTATAAATAAGAAAATGCTCATCCCAAAGCTAGTGATTTTTAAGTTTGTAAAGCCTGATTTGTACCAAATGCATGTCCTGACTTTCTTTTCTGACAGCAATCAGAAACTGAGACTGTGCATTTGTTCATCCCAGCCCTATCAGTCGGCGCAATTATCGGCAAGCAGGGCCAGCACATCAAACAACTCTCTCGCTTTGCAGGAGCTTCAATTAAGGTACTGATCTGCCAACTGTGGCTCCCCTGGTTCTTTCACCAAATTACAGAAAGAGGAATATTCTTTCTACTTTATACCAGAAAATCCCAAACAACAGTGGCTTACACAAAGTGAATTAACTTCCCAGGAAAATCAGTCTGGAGGTAAGCAATCTAGGGATGGTGGTTCTGCACTGCCAAGATCTTGGAGCCTTCATGGTTCTAGATGCTCAGAGAACCAAATCTGTTGTCCATCCAGTAAGAGAGAAAAGAACAACAAGCCTTTTACCTGAGGAAGTTTCTTTAGCTGCTCTGAGAAACATCTACAAGTATCCTAGTTTAAGACATTGACCAAAACTGGATAAGAGCTGAAGAGGCAGCAGTGGAACCTAGTCTGTTAGCCAGGTGACATTTTGTGCCCTTCTATAGATGGTAGGGTAACACACAGCAGAGGTTAACCAGTGTTACTGCTCTAACAGATCATTGCGTGTTTTGAAGATTCTGTGCTTTGATATGCTGGGGTAATATTAAACAAGATTGTTTTAAGGAAATAGACTGACAGAAGCTTGATGTAAGAAAGCTATACGAGGTTTTTATTGTTTTATAAGCTTTTTAAAAATTTTTATTTAAAAGGACATAGTACACTTAGCATACAACCCATAAATCCCACTCCTGAATATTTATCCAAAATATACACATAAAAGAAAAAGACGCACACAAATGCTTATAAAGTCTTTATTGATAACTGTACAAAGAAACCAAATGTTCAACTAGTGAATGGGTAAAGTATGGTCCATCTACACAATAAATATTACTGAGCACTAGAAAGGAACCAACTATGTAATGACAAAACAATGTGGAGGAGATCTCGTGCATTGTGCTTTGAGAAAGAAGTTAGACTCAGAAGGCCACACACTGTATTATTCCATTTATATGATAATTTTGGAAAAGGCAGAACTATAAGGAAAATAAATTGGTGGCTGCTAGGGGAAGGCAGAGGAGGGAGTAAAAGTAACAAGGCGGCCAGAGGAGAATGCTGAGTGATGGAATTAGTTTGCATTTTGATTTCTGAGGTAACAACATGAGTGTGCATATATCTCTTCCTCGTACTGGACATCAGAAGAGTGACTTTTACTATTTGAAAATTAAATAATTAGAAGTCAAAACACAGAATAATAACCCTTACATATTTTCTTAAAGATAAAGATAACAAAATTCAGGAACAAGAGAGGGAAAGAGACGGTAAAAAATGAAGACCTGACTTTACTATTCTGCTTGTTTCATAATTGAGTAAAATAACCTTTGAGGCTGGGAGAGGAGGTGCAGGCCTACAATCCCAACACTCTGGGAGGCTGAGGCAAGAGGATCAAAAGTTTGAGCTAGCCTGTACCACACACATAAAATATTTGAGACATGCTCATACACACAAAAAAAACTTGGTAAATCCATGTTGGGAGGACTGCAGTGAACAGTTCATGAATAAGAATTGGTTATTAAAGGCTCAGTTTTTTCTTGTCAGTGTCTCTCTAACCCTTACCACCCCACTCCCCGCAATCTCTCCAGCAGTAGGGTTTAGAGCCAGTCAGAGCCTTCACACTGAGCTATATCCCTAGCACTTTTAAAAATTTTGAGACAGCATCTGTAAATCACTCACACTGGGCTTGAACTTTGGATCCTCCAGTTTCAGCCTCCCAGAGTGCCAGGATTACTAGTGTGCATCACCATACCCAGCTATGAATTTTCAAATGAGCTTGAAAAATGTCTTTTGTGTCCATAAAGTCTGAAATACATAATATGAAAGGCTGACCACACCTCTTAATACTTAGGATAGATTTACCTATGGGTACATTTAAATATGTATACATTATTGGACGTATAATATGTGGTATCCCCAAACTATCATTTGTATTCACTTGATATTTATATTCTGCACAAACAATGCAATGATAAAATAAAGACATACAACCTTCTTTAACTATACACTTACAGAAGCAGATGTCATGGATCAAAGGGCATGTGTGTGTTTTCAGGTTTTGAGAGCTTATAGTAGTAATTTATATTCCTACCCTCAATGTATGAGGTCCCATAGCCCCAGCTCTCTGACCAGTATTGACAAAAAGGTATTTAAAAATAAAACAAACAACACCAGGAGTGGGGAATGAAGCTATGTGGCAAAGTACTTGGCTAGCTTGCAAGAGGATCTAGGTTTGATCCTAGCACCACACACAAAAATTAAAAAACAAAAAATCCCAGTTTGAAAATTGAAGAATGGTAGTTTTTAAAACAGTAATTTCTTGTAAATAATCATAAGAGCTAAAGCAAGTTATTTGCTTGTTTTACAGACTCAAAACCAGTCTGCATAAAGGAGTGCTATCAGCTACTCTAGGGGACAAAAATGTTAGCTTGGGCCAGGGATTTAGCTCGGTGGCACCACACCTGCCTCCCAAAAGCAAGGTCTGAGTTTGCTCCCCAAAGGGTGGGGGAGAGTTAGCTTTATTGGAGGAGAGTAAGCATGACTTCATTAAAAATACTGTATTTTAAAGGTGTGGGAAAAGGTATAGACAAATATCAAGCAATTTCAGTGGGTAGAATTTAGGGTACTTGTATTTTTGCTTTTTGCTCTAAGTAATGGTGCTTTTTTTGTTTTGTTTTACACAGGTTTTTAATAGCAAATATTTAGTAAGCTTTTTTTTCTTTTACAATGACTCCTACTATCTGGGTTCCCAAATCCTCCTTCCTGTAACTGTGAGAATACTAGTTTCTGCTGGCTCTGTGTGTGTGTGTGTGTGTGTGTGTGTGTGTGATTTCATATATTTTATGAAAACAGAAAAGTCTGTATTTGCCTTTCTCCTGCTTAGTTAGATTTGTTTATTTCATGTTATTCCAACAAACATACTTGGGGTATAATTTGCTAACAATCTTAGACTTACAAACTTAGCAAACAATGTATAGATTAAGAACATATAATTAAATAGATTAAGAAATCAAGTTCCTTTGTAAATGATATAAAAAGAGCTCAGCAACCTAGACAGTATTTTTAAAAAGCAGTAATCTCAAATAAGGCTGCAAGCCAGGCATAGTGGCACAGGCCTGTAATCCCAGCACTTGGGAGGCTGAGGCAGGAGGATTGCCAGGAGTTCAAGGCCAGCCTGGGCTACATAGTATGTTCAGGACCAGCCTGAACTACAAAGCAAGATCCTGTCTCAAAAAAAAAACAAACCAAAGGCCGGGGATTTAGCTCAGTGGTTCTGCCGCCTGTCTCGCAAGCGCAAGGACCGGAGTTTGATCCCTGATACCCAAAAAACCAAAAAACCCACACAAAACAGACTGCAGTCTCTGGACATATATGAGAAACCAGGTGGTTCTGATGCAGGTGGGCTGCAGAGTACTACTGGTATAGAGATTAGGAGCACAAGCAATGGAAACAGAGCAGCCCCACCTCTGGTTTGGTGACTGCTTGGTCACAGGCCAGGCCACTCTACTCCAGCTTGCATTTCAGTGAGTCATGTGCAGGTGTCACACTGGCTGGCCTACGGTTTCCATCAATGACATCTGCAGCATTACAACTTGTTGCTGATGGTTCTGTTACAGATCGCACCAGCTGAAGCGCCAGATGCTAAAGTGAGGATGGTGATTATTACTGGACCACCAGAGGCTCAGTTCAAGGTATGTGCACACGTTACAAATGAAGGGGAGAACAGCAGTGCCTCTGCAGAATGGATTATATAAAACTATAAAGTAGAATCACTGAAAACTCATGTCTAAGATCAGAAGTAGAACCATACCCAGACATCAATTATTGCACATTTCTCCTTGGTGCTTTTACTCTTACAGTTGGAATGACTATCTTGCAACTGCTAAATTCTTGTATGATGAGAAATTCAGTTATTTCCAAACTAACACTAGAGTTTGTGTAGGGCCTGGTGGAGTATACCTGTAATCCTAACATTCGGGAAGCTGAGGCAGAAAGATCACCTCAAGTTCAAGGCCAGCCTGAACTACATAGGTTTAAAAAAAAAAAAAAAAAGTAGGGTGGGGGATTTAGCTCTGGTTCCTGTGCTGCCTCGCAAGTACTAGGACCTGAGTTTGATCCCCAGAACCAGAGAGGAGGGGGGAGATCAGAGAGGCTATAATGGTTATAATGGTTAAATCACTTAAGTGATCAGTGACTATTCGACCTAAGGAATAGTTGTTAACCTGTCCTAACCTACATTTTTTCTCATGAATTCAAGGGCTTGTTTTAGACAGTACTGGACATTCCTAGTATTCTTTGACTGTGTTAATAGCTACATCTGTGGCTTAAGACATTAAGGATGAATGGACTGTAGTACATTGATAAATTTTGTCTTTTTTCTAATTCTCTAAAATGAGCTTATCATTTCTACACCAATGACTTTTTTGTGGACTGTGCTGGCAGTTTATCAGATTAGACCTGCTTCTGTTTCCTATAGTGTAACCACAAGTTAATGAGTGTCACTAACAGAAGGTGTTATTTACATATAACATCTGTAATGTATGCAGTACCTGATGGGATATGCTGGTTATAAATATCCTAAGTATTAACTTGATTTTGTAGCCTCTTTATTTATAGCAGAAACGCCTGGCTAAGATTAAGGTGTTTATACAAAGTATTCTTCACCAGGTTTCTAATGACCATTTAGACATCAAAGTGGCTCTTTGTGAGCTTGGCACAACTGGCTATGTAGTTCTTTCCCAAGTTATTAGGCTTTTTTTTGTTTGTTTTTTGAGACCAGGGTCTCACTATGTAGTTGAGACTGACCTGGAACTCACTATGTAGCCCAGGCTGGTCTCGAACTCACAGCGATCCTCCTGCCTCAACCTCTCAAGTGCTGGGATTACAGGAGTGCACCACCACACCCAGCTAGGTTTTTTTTTGTTTTGTTGTGTTGAGATCTGGCTCTATGGCAAGTAGTGAACTCACAATCCTCCCACCTCAGCCTGAGTAGCTGGGATTTATGGGCATGTACCCCAATGCCTTGTTCCAGTCTTTTGCTCAAGAAAAATGCAATTATTTCTCATTACCAGGTGAATTTTTATGTTTCAAGCTTGGTGTATAGATGGCCATTTGTCCACAAAAATATGTTTTAGCTAGACAAATCCCTTCTTATCTCTCATCATTCATTCAGTTGCCTTATGTGTGGTACACAGTTATCGTCACTTTTCAGGACTCCCTAACTTCTATCTCTTACGCTGTCTTTCAGCATTCAAGTTAGATTTAGGGTGTCTTTAAAGTTCAATTTTTGTGTTTCAAACATGAAAGATACTGACAGACTGTATTTTCACCTGCAGGCTCAGGGAAGAATTTATGGAAAAATTAAAGAAGAAAACTTTGTTAGTCCTAAAGAAGAAGTGAAACTTGAAGCTCATATCAGAGTGCCATCCTTTGCTGCTGGCAGAGTTATAGGAAAAGGAGGCAAAACGGCAAGTACTTCAGCAAAACCTGTGCAGTGGTATGAAAGGGAAAAAGCATTACAAGGTACTTAGGAGTTCCAAGTCCCTGAATTTTGGCTAACTTATAAAAAAGCAAGACCACCTTTACCAAGGTTTGGAGAAAACTGCGTATTACTTGAATGTTGGTGTCAGCTAGCAGTGAAAATAATGTGTCTTTCAGACGACTTGGTGAGAAAGAAATGCCCTGTATTTATAAAGGGCATTCAGCATCACTCTGCTGTTACAACTGAAGCTTTACATTTGTATTATACAAACACTAAAGGACACAAACTATGACTTTTAAATTCTAACTGAAAAAAGCAAATGGCTTCCAGTCTTCTAACACAACATCTAGGTCATTTCCAAAGCTACTTACAATTTTAAAGTCATTAAAAAGCATATACTTTGGAATCCTATCAGGATTTGAATCTGGTTTTGCCATTTACTTGTGTAAATGGACAAATCAGTTGATTTGAATGAGTCTTAGTTCTAATTTTCTTGAAGTGGGGACAGTGTTACACACTCAAAGAGTTTTTAGTGGCTAAAATGAAACTTACAAAGCCACAGCTCAGTGTCTAGTACATGGTAAGTACTCTGGAAATGGTAGTGTTTTAAAATGCTGCTTAACATGATCTGTTTCTCTCTTTCAGGTGAATGAACTCCAGAATCTGTCAAGTGCTGAAGTTGTTGTTCCTCGTGACCAGACACCTGATGAGAATGACCAAGTGGTTGTCAAAATAACTGGTCACTTCTATGCTTGCCAGGCAAGTGGGTGCTAAAAGAAGGCAGCTCTTTTGCTTCTCTCTCAAGTAAAACCAATTATCACACAAGTGCTACTATGAAAATATTTAAGGCTGTTTGATGCTCAACAAAAAAAATTTTTTAAGAGGTGGGGTCTCTGATGCTTAGGCTGGCCTGGAACTCCTGGCCTCAAGGACTGATCCTCCTGCCTCAGCTTCCCATGCACCTGGGAGGATAGCCATGTGCCCAGCTGACTCTTAATTTTAGTACCAGGATCGAACTCAGGATCTTGCACATGTGAGGCAGGTGCAGCACCACTAAGCTAAATCCCCGGCCCTGTTTCTTAATACTTTTAGTTTCCCTTTTAGCAGGTTATTTCAGAGACTGCTAGCAACTGATGAGTATGGATCTCCAATCTTCAGATGGATTTCTATTTGAAGTTGTTAAAATGGAATAATAAAGTAATTTTAGTAATTTCTGATTGGGTGGATTTTTCAAATCTCTGTCTTTTTGCAGGTTGCCCAGAGAAAAATTCAGGAAATTCTGACTCAGGTAAAGCAGCACCAACAGCAGAAGGCTCTGCAAAGTGGACCACCTCAATCAAGGCGGAAGTAAAGGCTCAGGAAAAGCCCACCACAGAGGCAGATGCCAAACCAAAGACAGATTGCTTAACCAACAGACGGACTCTGACCCCATCCAGAATCACATGCACAAGTTGTTACCTAGCCAGTTGTTTCTGAGGACCAGGCAACTTTTGAACTCCTGTCTCTGTGAGAATGTATACTTTATGCTCTCTGAAATGTGTGACACCCAGCTTTTAAAAAATAAAAGAAAAAGAAAAGTAAGGGGGAGAGGGAGAGAAAGAGCTCTGCACTTCCCTTTCCATAGTCTCACAGTATAATGAATATTCTAATTTTTCTTAATATTTCCCCCATACTGCCAGAAATTGGCTTAAATGGTGCATTCATAAAATTCATCGAATAAATTAAAAAGATTGCTCTTAAATCCAATTGTTAAAATTGGATCAGAAATCAGAATAGAATTATCACAGGAACTTGAGATGTTAAGCCATTAGTGTAGAAAAACTTTTATTTTTAATCTAACACTAACACAACCTAAGGGAAGTGCTGAATGGTGTTGGCAGGGGTATTAAATGTGCATTTTTACTCAACTACCTCAGGTATTCAGTAATACAGTGAAAAGCAAAATTGTTCCTTTTTTTGAAAATTTTATATACTTTATAAAGATAAAAGTCCAACAGTTTTTTTAAAAATGTAAAATTTAACAGCTGTCAGCTAACAGGCAAATAAGTGAAAAAGGAATTTTACTTCTGGCTGGTGACAGTAAAGCTGGAAAATTTCAGGTTTTTTGAGGCTTCTGACACAGTTATTGAAAACCCAGTAAATGTTCAAAGATACAGAGCAGTGCCTATATTTGGAGAGCAGCAATGCCAGTTATTCCTGTGTTTATAGTTGGAATGTTTTTGGTGGTACTTACAGAGCAAAGTGGTGGTGGCAGGAGGTTTTGGAACACCTAGTTAAACGGCTTTAGCAGACTTCAGGTTTTCTGTTTAGCTGTATGACTGAATGCATAAATGTTTCGTGCTTTGATTATCTACCTGAAGAAAGTGTATTGAGGTAGGACTTCCAACGGGCAAAAAGCAAGCTTTAGCTTGTCCTACAGGTTGCTTAGTTTTAGTAACCTTCAGACTAATTGGTCTATGAGCAAACTCTAAAAGAACTGATTTTATTTAGTGACAGTGTTTAAATTAACAAAAGGCTACATTTCTTTGTACCCGGCTGGCACTGTCATGCAATGGATGATTTTTTTAAGTCCACTTAAAATATCACATAGAATGTAGCAGGATTTCTGTATACCCTGTGCCCAATTATTTGAAGATAAGTCAAAGGTAGAGAACTCAAAAATGTTTTGAGAATGCAATTTGAATGACTGAAAACACCTGACCTTTGAAACTGAACTCATTTACCCGTTCCTTAACTTGATGGCAAAGCCCAGGATGTACAATTGTGTGGGTGGTCTTGGAAGCCATGCTGCTCTCCGAACTGTTTTTGTGTTGCTTTCCTTCATAAGATGATCACCGTCATCTAACTACACTGATCTGAAGGGCATTATGTAACCCTTTAAAACACACTGCCTCATTTGTATTTCAAGATGAATTTCTACAGACTAAGTTTTTCTGAAGATCAGCATATCAATTAGACATTTTGAAAACTTTTCCTAAATATTCACAGAAAACCAGTTTATTTTGTAGTTTATCCAAAAAGTGCCCTTTTTGTCAATGATTTCACCTAACATAATTTTTTCATACAATGAATTTAAATTGCTGAAAAATCATGGGCTGGCTTTCTGGTTGGATTGCACTGTGAGATGTGCTTAATTAAGGCCAGAGCTCTTCTGCAAAATTTGATTTTTCTAATACTTGTTTTTTAAAATACAGGTAGGTGCTGCATTTATATCTGCTGGTATATTTCTGCCATATTTCACTTCTATTCTTTTAGTGTGGCAAATCATGTTTTCCTTTCACTTTAGCACTGATGATTTGGAGTATCTGGTACTAGCTAAGAAATAATTCTGTAATTGGGTTTTGTACTCACCATATATGATCATTCCTCATCTATAATGTGCCCCAAATGCAGCTTCATTTTCCAGATACCCTGATGCAGAATAAAGTTTTTCATCATTAGTCTCAGCTTATTGTGTAGTATGTTCAAATGAACGTGATGTTTGAATTTGGCCTGCAAACAGTTTTAATACTATATCAATCTTGAAATCGGCATGACTACTTACTGTTAAATTATTTTCTCTGGCCTGCAGTACATTAATGTGAACCTTGCTTATACTGTTTATCTGAACCAAGAACTGTAGGTCACTAAAGTTTCCCTAATAATTTGCTTTTTTCTGTCATTTGGATTATTCTAAAAGGGGACAAGTCCTATCATAGAAAAAGCCTGTTATCTATTAGACTCAGTGGGCAGTAGCGTATTTTGTTAAGACTTTTGGCCATTACAGTTGTATTGAGTACTTGCGTTATAAGCAAAATAAAAGTGAGTAGTGAGCTCAAGTTAAGTACATGTACCAGTACTAACTCCAGGAAATCCTGTTGTGATCTCAGGAATAAATAGCATGTTAAAGTTTGGGTACTGGGGATCGAACTCAGGACCCTTGTGCTTGCAAGGCAGTCCCTGGCCCTAGAACATACTTATTCTTGTTAGCTCATTTATCTCTAATCTCTGTGAGTCAGTTGAGTGCCCTTGAGGTAGCCAAGCCTTGTTCTATTGGCAACCTATTTTCCAAGAGTGACTAAATCCAAATCTGAAACAACTCAGAGTTCATCTAATTTTATTCACATTTGAACTCCACTGGAGTCAACAAGGAAGTGTCCTCCTCTTCTATTCCAAGAATAAAATCTTCAGGTAATGTTTCAGGTGGTATCTGAGATAACTGGTCATCATAAGAACGTAGAGTCCATAATTTCTCTAATTCATACGTTTCTCTGCTCTCTGGAAGCATTAAATGAATCACCATATTGCCTATCAGGGATAAAAAGTTACAATGAAGAAATAATGTATTTGCTTTTATTCTTGTGTTCTCACAACTCTTGTCTAGTAGAAGTCTAGGAACTAGATCAGTTGTTATCAGAGAGCAAACTGTGGATCCCATCCCAGCAAAAATTACCACAGCAGTGATGCTGTGCCTTTCTCGGGGTATCCCCTGTATCAGCATGTGTCATCCGTGATGAAGCTGACTATCCACTGACTAATAGGAAGTGCTCCATGCACATCACATTTCAGCAAATCTTGTGAGCAAAGAAAGTACTATGCTTTGGGGTTCTTGTCAAGGCTGTTTGTAGTGAAAAACATTGTTTCCAAAACAGGACAGCTCTGCTTATAGCTAACTCAGTTGAAGCAATGAGAAATGTCTAGGGACGCTGTCGCCATTAGGAGGGATACTGCTAACATCCTATAAAATGCTGGGCCCAAAATATTTACAGTGACAGGGCTAGGGATTTAGCTCAGTGATGTTGCTGGCTGCCTTGGAAGCATAAGGTCCTGAATTCGATCCCCAGTACTAAAAATAAAAAAAAATTTATAGTGACAAGGTGAAAAACCCTTGACAAGCCTTGGCATCTCTCACCAGAGCAGAAGTAGGCCTGCTTCCTGCTAGTTATATAAAAAAAGACTGTTCTACCCCTGTGCTCTCCTAGGGCATCTAGGGCTCCAAGGACCAGTGTCAAAACAGTGCACAAATCATGGAGCTGGCTATAGGAGTAGCAAATTGTTTTTGTCTCTAACTCACAAATAGATTTGTGCTGTCTTTGCTTTTTTTTTTTTTTTTGGTACCAGGGATTGAACTCGGGTCCTTGTGCTTGCAAGGCAGGCCACCGAACCGCTGAGCTAAATCCCCGGCCCGATTTGTGCTGTCTTTGTAGCCATGAAAGTGGAAAGACAACAACTTGTTCTCATGCAACTAGGACAAAACCTTAGACTTCGAGTTTTTTGCTGCTGTTGTTACCAGGGACGGAACTCAGGACATTGTACTTGGGAGGCAGGTGTGGTCCCACTGAGCTAAATCCCTGGCCACTCAGTTCTTAATGTAGTTAGCATTTTGTATTCCCCCCTCTTCTCGTTACTGGGATGAAACTGAGCTACATCCCCAACTCTTTTTAAGATAGTTTCACTAAAGTGCCCAGGCTGCACTCAAGTCCCCCGAAGAGCCTTATGTTCTCACAGGTGGGGCTTTTGGGACGTGGCTGGATTTTGGGGGCTCAGAGCTGACTTGCTGTTAGGCGGGTCCCTGGAGGCCTGGCAGCGTCTACCCTCAAGCTCTATTTGCCACTGCTCTGCACAGCTATTCCTTTGCCATGCGCCCTGGAGCCAGCCAACTATGGGATGAAACCTCTACAAACTGTGAACCAAAACTACTCCTTTAAGTTGTAGGTATTGGGTATTTTGTCCCAGAGATGAAAGGAGTGACTTAAGACTGTGTCTTCCTCCAAAAATGTATTACTGTATCTGGAATACTGAGTTCAGGTGAAGATTTCACAAATCAGCTGAATTACAAAACTTTTGTTGAAACAAATTTCAAAAAAATCTTACATAGAAATGTAGTCATGGATTTTGTGAATTGCTTTGCAGCTGAAAATGAGATAATCTGGCTTAGTATCAGTACTTATCTATACAATATGCCAAAATAACTTACCAAAATCCACACAGAGCCAGTCATCAGTGTCCTTCCCTTCAATCCTAACATGAGGCTCACTTTTACATTTCAGGTATTTGTACTGAAAAAAAGCCAGACCATAGATTAAAGACAGGAGGTCTGCCCTTAATGAGGATCTAGTAGCATTTTTCTTGGTCTGTCTGGGAACTAGCTTACTCATTTTTCATAGCTATATTTGCCACATGGTTAATAACAGGAAAAATATTTATCCCCTAAATCCTATCTTCTTTCACTCCTCATTCCTGAGCCTTCTTGCTTAAATTCTGAGAAGGCCGCACTCATTCACCAAAGTACCCCCGGGGAACAGAGGGCTAAACACTTGGTCCCCACCTACATCACCCACGTGCCCATCTGGCTTCCCTTCATGCCTCAGGCAAGACAAGCACCACTTTCCTGTTTTACTTTATTTTAGGTACCGGGGATCAACACAGGACTCTCTGCTTTTCGAGGCAGGTGGTGGTACCACTGAGCTAAATCCCTGGCCCAACCACTTTCCTGTTTTAGGCTGGGTCTTCTCAGTGCTACTGATTTCGTCTCATCTGGCTTCAGGATATGCTAATGGATGACTTCCTTCCAAGTGTTGGTTTCCAAGTGGTCTCAGTTATTAACACCAACAGATATGCCAACAACAGACAGAATTTAAGCTAAAAATTGTTAGGAGACAAAGGACACTAACACGATGATAACAATTATACATAACACCAAAGATCAGCTCCTAAATATATGAAGCACACTGACAACTGAAAGGGGAAACAGTAGTAGCACAGTAAGACTTCAGTAGCCCATGGTCCATAATCAATAGAACAATCAAGAGCAAGAAGGAAAGGGATGGCTTTTTTTTTTTTTTTTTTTTAAGGTTTTTAAAGACTTGGTCTTGCTCTTTAATTCAGGCTGGCCTTGAACTCACTATGTAGCCCAGGCTGGCTTCGAACTTGGCAACAATCATATTGCTTCTCAAGCAGCCTCTCAAGTGCTGGGATCACAGGCGTGTGCCACCATGCCCAGGGAAATAGAAAACTTAACACTGGTTCCAAAACACATTAACAGAGCTCTCTACCCAACAGTAGAAGAATGTACTCTTTTATCAAGGGTACAAGAATGTTCTCTAGGATAATCATTTATTAATCTACAAAAGAATTTTTTTCTTCCTGGTACCAAGGACAGAACTCAGGACCAGCACCACTGAGCTAAATCCCGGGCCCTACAAAAGAAATCTTAAGTTTAAAAAAATGAAATGAGAGTAAATAAAATATTTTCTGTTCATAATGAAATAAAATTAAGAATAATCGGGGGTAGGGTGGGGATTTAACTCAGCGGTTTGGTGGCCTGCCTTGCAAGCGCAAGGACCCAAGTTCAATCCCCCGTACCAAAAAAAAAAAAAGAATAATTGGAAAAATCTACATAATGTGAAAATTAAACAATAGACACCCAACAGGTCAAAAAGTCACATAAGCAGGAAGTGAGACAAATGAAAATTATACTCTAAAGAACTAGGGGGGAGAATATCAAAAGCTAGCAGAGGAAAGGTAAAAACTAGGGAAGGAAAAAAATCAGTGAAAGCAAGATTTGGTTCTTAAAAAAAAAAAGTAAAACAAATCTTTATCTAGATTGAGTAAAAAAAGGAAACTAAAATCAGAAATGGGGGCTATTACTACCCATTTAAGAAAAATTAAAAAATAATTTTAAGAGTACTATGGCTGGGTGTGGTGGCACACACCTGTAATCCCAGCATGTGTGAGGCTGAGGCAGGAAAGACTGCCACAAATTTGAAGCCAGCCTGGGCTACATAGTTCAAAGCCAGCCTGAACTATAAAAGCCAAACAGACCTTGTCCCGAAAAAAAAAAAAAAAAAGTAGTATGAAGATAGCCTCTTTAATAAATTGTTCTGGAAAAACTGAATTTCAACTTGGTAAAAATTAAAACTAGACCCCTATCTTTCACCATGCACTGAACTAAAAGTGGATTAAAGATCTAAATAAATATTAAGACAAACAAAACACTAAACTTGCTGGAAGATAAGTTAGGTACAGCTCTAAACAACGGCATAGGAGAAGACTGAACAAATCCTCAGTAGCACCAGAACTAGCGCAAAGAATCAACAACTGGGATCTTATCTTACTAAAAAGCTTCTGCACTGCAAGAGAAACCACCAACAGAGCAAAGAGATAACTACAACGTGGGAAAATTTTTTACCAGTTGTTCCTCAGACAAAGGTCTACTGTCTAGAATAAATAACTAAAAAACACCAGCCCCCCCCAAATATAAAGACCCAATTTAAAAATGGGCATCTGAAATGAAGAGACATTTCTCAGACAAGTAAAAGCAACAAATAAACATGAAAAAATGTTCAACATCACTGGTCTTTTGAGAGATGCAGATGAAAACAACACTGAGATTTCACCTCACCCCAGAAAGAATGGCTGCTATCATGAATCAACCAATAACAAATGCTGGCAGGGTTATGGGGAGAAAGAAACCCTTCTTCATTGATGGTGGGAGTACAGACTGGTGCAACCAGTCAGTATGGAGATATCTCAAAAAACTAGGACTAGAGGTCATATTTGACCCAGCTATTCCTTCTGCTGGGTATCTTCCCAAAAGAATTAAAAGAGTCACACCACAGTGATATATGTGCACCTATGTTTATAGCAGCACAGTTTGTAATAGCTGAAACTTGGAAACAGCCCAATTGCCCATCAACTGGAGAGTGGATAAAAAAGATGTGGGGTTTTTTAAAAATATAAAATGAAGTACTACTCAGGCATAAAGAACAAGAAATTAGAGACATTTATACCTAAGTGCATGCACCTTGAGGACATAGTCAAGTGAAATAAACAGGACACATGTGTAAATACCAGTTTCTCTGGTGTGAAAAACTGAAAGTAAATAAGGATCAAAATGTGTAATTGATAATGTGAAATAGGAAAAAAACATCTAAAGGAGTAGGGGAAGTGGGAGGGGTAGAAGGGAAAAGAAAAAATATGAGTAAAGAAAAAACATGGGAACAGAATCTTTGTAAACAGCAAAGGGTGGTAGGGGTGAAGGGAAGGCAGGGAAATGGGAAAAAAATAAGAACCAAGATACATCATGTAAAGATACAAGATCCCAGTGATGAACGTAACTATCACATAGTTAAAATGTACCAATAAACTTAATGGGGAAAAAAAGTACTGTGAACTGGGCTCGTGTCATCCACCTACAGACCCATCACTCAGGAAGCTAAGGTGGCAGGATGAGTCCACAAGTTTGTTATCAGCCTGGGCAACAGAGCAAGACTCCATTGAAAAAAAGAAGTACTACAAACAATTATGTAACAAACTGGCTAACCCAGGTAAAAGAAATGACAAATTCCTGAGACATGCAATCTACCAAGACCGAATCACTTAAAATAAAGATGGCAGAGACCAGCTGGGTGTGGTAGCGCATGCCTGAAGTCTCAGCACTTGGGAGGTTAAGGCAGAAAGATGTCCATGAGTTTGAGGCCTCCCTGGGCTATTTGGTGAGTCCAAGCCCAGCCTAAATTACATAGCAAGACCCTGTCTCAAAAACAAAACAAAAGGACTGCAGAGACCTATAACCAGTAGATGACTGAAGCAGTTACTGCAATTCCCCAACACAGAAATTGGGTTAATTTTACTGGTGAATTAGGAAGAATACTTTCTCAAATTTACAAAAATTAAACACAGAACATTTCCCAATTCTGTAAGACCAACTTCTTACTGACAGGAATGCTAGAAAGTATACGAAAAAAGAACTAGTCAGGTGTGGTAGCACAGACCTATAATCCTAGCACTCTGGGATGCTAAGGCAGGGAGAATTGCCTGGGCAATTTAGCGAGACCCTGTTTCATAAAATTTTAGAAGGGCCAGGGATGTAGCTCACTGTGAAGGCCCTGTGTTCAATAAAAAGTACTGCCCCCCAATCAATCCCTGGTGAATATATTGTCACCAACGAAGTATTAGCAAACCAAACAGCAGCATATTAAACAGCCAGGCATTTGTGGCCCACATCTATATCCTGCCTACTTGGGAGGCTGAAGCAAGAAGAAAATCACAAATTTGAGGCCAGCCCAGGCTGTTTCAAAATAAAATAAAAAGGGCTGGTATATATGGCTCAATGGTGGAAAGCTTATCAACTGTGACTGAGACCCTAGGGTCAATCCCTAGTACTGGAAAAAAACAATTATGCACCATGACCAAGTGAAATTCCTGGAATGTACACATTTCAACATGAAAACCAATAAATGTAATACGTCACATTAACAGATCAAAGAGAAAATCCACATGATCATTAACACATCTGGCAAAATTCAACACACTTTCATGACAAAATTACTCAACAAACTAGGGATAAAAGGAAACTACCTCAATGTAATAAAGGCCACATATGAAAGGCACACAGCTAGCATACTCTAGGCATACTTAATGATGAAAGACTGAATGAAGCTTTTCCTCTAAGATTAGGACCAAGACAAGATGCCCACTTTTGCTACTTTTAAGATGTAGCTGGAGCAATTGCATAAGAAAAGGCATCCAAATTGTAAATAAATAAATAAATTATCTTTTTGCGGACAGGATGATCTCACGTGTAGAAAACCTTAAAGTTACCACAAAAAAACATGGCTAGGACTAATAAATTAGGCAAAGCTGCAGAATACAAAAATCACACAGAGCCAGGCATGGTGGCGCATTCCTGTAATCCCAGCACTCGGGAGGCTGAGGCAGGAGGATCACTGTGAGTTCGAGACCAGCCTGCTGGGCTACATAGTGAGTTCCAGGTCAGTCTCAATTACATAGTGAGACCCTGTCTCAAAAACAACAACAACAACAACAACAACAAAAAAAAAAAAATCACACAAAAATCAGCTGAATTAGTATACACTTACAATAAGCAATCTGAAATTTAAAAAATTCCATTTATAATAGTACCAAAAAGAATCCATACATCAATTCTATCCCTATCCAAAATTTATTTCTTTAAGAAATGAAAAAAATAATCCATCCTAAAATTTACATTAAATCTCAAGTATGCTGAATAGCTAAAATAATCCTGAAAATGAAATAACAAAGTTGGCAACTTTACATTTCATGATTTTAAATCTTACACTCGGGCTGGAGGTGCTCAGTGGTAGAGTGCCTAACATGTGCAAGGCTCTTGGATCAATCCTCACCAACAAAACAACAGAAACAAAAACCCCAAAATTTAGTACACAAAGCTACAATGGTATATACTACTGTCATAAAGTCAGACACATAAACCAATTAATAGGGAGTCCATAAGTAAACTTGCAGAGATTATGGTTAAATGTTTTGTAACAAGGGTGCCAAGACAAAAACAGAAAAAGGACAGTCTTTTCAGCAAAGAGTACTAAGGAAGCTGGATATCCACATGGAAAGAAGACTTATACATCCTACAAAATTAATTTAAAATGGAATAAATACCTAATTATAGAACCTAAGGAGAGAAAACTCTTAGAAGAAAACAAGGAAAAGCTTAATGACATGATTGTGGGAATGATTTTCCTGGATATGCTATTAAAGGCACAGGCAACAAAAGACAAAGCTGGAATTATCAAAATTAAATACTTCTGTGCATCAAAGAATGCTACCAACAGAATAAGAAAAAGGATTATTAAAAAAAAAAGTTCCTACAACAAAATATTGTACCTATTTAAAATGAGCTAGTGACTGTAATTTCTCCAAAGAACATGTACAAATTGCCAATAAACAAATGAAAATATGTTCAACATCATAAATCATTATGGGACTGCAAATCAAAACAATGAAATACCCTTTACACCCATAAGGATGTCCATTATAAAAAATAAAACACCCCAAAACCAGAATAGGCCAGGCATGATGGCACACACCTGCAATCCCATCATTTGGGAGGCTGAGGCAGGAGGCTAAACAGGTTCTGGTTCAACCTAGATGATTTAGCAAGACCCTGTCTCAAAATTTTTTAAGAGGGGTGGAGGTTATGTCTGAGAGCTCCCTCAATCTCCAGTAACCACATACATACATACACACACACACACACACACACACACACACTACTACTAGTGGGATTTTAAATTAGTGTAGCCACTATGAAAAAGGGAATAATGCCTCAAAAAATTAAGGCTAGAATCAGCATATAATCCAGCAATTCCTTGTATGTACACTCCAAATTAGAAGTTGGCACGTGAAGGGATACTTCTATGCCTATGTTTACAGTAGTACTATGCACAGCAGCCAAAAGTTGTAATCAATGAACAGATGGATAAACAGTGTGGTATACAGGGTACAAACCCGTATATATAGTAGTTATTAGTCTTAAGAAATTCTGGCACGTTACAACATGGATGAACCTTGAAGACACAGTGCTAAGTGAAACAGCTAGTCACAAAAGGACAAATACCATATAATTTTCATGAGATAGGATGAGTAGTGAAATTAAAACAGATAAAGGAGAATGGCAACTGCAGAGGAAAGGAAGTAAGTTACTGTTTAAAGGGTACAGAGTTGCAAGATGAAAGTTCCAGCAATGGATGGTGGTTAACAATTGATGTACTTAAAACCACTGAATTATACACTTTAAAATGTAGGCAGGACCTAGATTATGTATATTTTTACTACAAAAAAATAACAAAATTTATTGAACTTGCCTCTCCCTTCTCATCTAAAATTTTTGTAAAAGTAATTTTTAGTCCCTAATTTTCCCTCTTCCAGAAACTCTGAACACTTCCATTCTTTTTGTATCCCCAAGTCTAACAGTAACTACTAAGTCTTCATCTCACTCCATTCCACTACTCTATCTGGTAGAGACCCTCTTCTCCTTGCACTCCGTCTTCTCTTCCTATCTATCTCTCCAACTACTTTTTTTGGAATTTTCCTCTGCCCTGTCGTATTATATCAGACTCCTTCTTGTTTTACTATTCTTTTGGGTTTTTTTTGTTTTATTATATTTTGTTTTTTAAGACAGGGTTTTGCTTTGTAGTTCAGGCTGACCTTGAACTCACTATGTAGTCCAGGGTGGCCTCAAACTCCCAGCAATCCTCCTGCTTCAGCCTCCCAAGTGCTGGGATTACAGGCATGTGCCATCAGGCCCGCTTATTTTGGTCTTAAAAGCCTTTCCAGCTGGGTATGGTGACACACACCTGTGATCCCAGCACTGGAGCAGCTGAGGCAGGAGAATCACTGTGAATTTGAGTCCAACCTGGGCTACATAGCAAGACCATTTCAACAAAACAAAACAGCGCCCCCAGTTGGTGCCAGTTTTCAGCTGGGTTATTCTCTTGCAGAATGATGCCAGAATTAGCTGGAAGCTTCTGAATACAGTATTTTCCTCATTCTGATTGACAAGCCCCTTTCCTTTTCTTTTATTATATCCATAAATTCAGAAGGCAAGGACTGTATCTAGATCACTTTTTACCTTGCCAATGACTGAGCACAATGCTTGCAAAGACTGGACATGCTCAAAACATCAGAATTAAACTCTAGACCCGCACTGTCCAATAGAACTTTTTATAGTTAGGGAAAGGTATTATGGCTGTTCAACACAGCAATAATCAGCTGAAATGTACTGTACTAGTGGCTGCCATATTGGTCAGTACTTGTGCTAGAAATCCCTTTGGCTTACACTGTCTTCTGGCTTGTCTCAGATGATTTTTCATTTTTTTCTTTTCGGTCACAAGAGACAAGAATTAGAAATACCTTGACTCATTGGGGCTAGATACTGTACTTGTTCCCAGACCGGTTTTAATCAAACAACACAGAATATAAAACATTCAGGCAAATTCTGAAAATTTGGCTTCCTCACATGTTCTTCAGGCTGAGGCACTGACATCTTCCCACTACATGAATGGTGTAAAGAGAGAAGAAAAAACATCCTACCATTTTCACAATGTAGTAGGCCATGGCATGTAAGTGCCGGGTGGAAGTCCCACTGCCAATCACAAAGTAATCAGTGTATCTCATTTCTGGAGGAACCTTGATCACACAAATGTCTCTTGCATTTTCTTGCCTCAGAAGAGAAACCAGCAAATCGATGTCAAACTTGGGACCAGTATGATCTGAAATGCACAAGTATTTGTTTGTGGCAGCTAGCCAAGGAGGACACAGCCCTGTAATACCCAGAGGTGCAGATGTCTCCCAGAGGAAACAAAGAAACTGCTCCTCCACAAGGATGTTCAAATCCAAAACGCCTGGAAGCTGACAGGGTCCAGACCTCCCAGCAGCTGAACCTCGGGTAGTCTCACACGGCACAACTTAGCCTTTAAGGTCAAAGTGCTCAGGTGACACAGAGCCAAAACATATCCTTTGCCATCCCCACGCACGAGGAGAACCACAATGACAAATAACTTTCCATTCGATAGTAATGAGCAATACACCGAAAACACAAAAAAGGAAAAACAGCAGCACAAAATTGAACCCCAATGCTGGGGATTTAGCTCAGCGATTCCGCTGCCTGCCTCACAGCACAAGGTCCCGAGTTCGATCCTCGGTACCTAATAATAATAATAATAAAAATAAATAAATAAAAAATAAAATTGAACCCCAGATATAAAGCGACAAAGAACAAAACTGTGAAGTGGGAGGCTCTCTCTCCCTCGCTCTGTTTTTTCTCTTTTCGCAGAAAAGATCTTGTAAATTTTCCACACTGGTCTAGAACCTGGGATCTTCCTCCTCAGTTTCCTGAATGCTGGGATTAGAGGCATGCATCGCTATGCAATTTTGGTTATTAACAACTGTTTTCTATTAAAATGTAATTTTTCTTCATAGAAGTGTAGATATTCCGTTCTTCAGCTTGGAGTATTATCGTGTGTAAATTTATAGTTCTCCTAAATTCTAAAACCGACTACAAAGCACCTAGTAGTAAAGTCCACGAAAACCTCTCTCAAATTCTATAACCTCTCAGAAATGACTTCTTTACGTTTCTCAAGTTTCTAAAAACGTTTGCAGCCATCACAGGATCTTAAGTAGGGCCCATCTCCCAGGAGCGTTTCTCGCACAATACTTGGCTGCAGTGCTTCGCTCTCCCTCGGAATCTCCAAGGCCCAACACTCCCAACGATCCCATCCCCAGGCCCCCAGGTGGGGAGCGGGGGTCAGGTCGATGAGGCCGTGATTCCGCCGTGAGGTCACCTGGGTGGCTGGGTTTGTGAAGACAACCGCTCATCGCGAGGCCTCAGTTTCTCCACTGGGAAACGGGAAGGCTGTGGGGGGCAATCTCTGAAGTCAGTTCCAGCTTTGGGTCTGTAGTTTTGCGAGCCGCAATGGAAACCTACGGAGGAACCAGAGCCCCCCGCGAAGGGATGGCTCCCAGCTTCGCAAACCGC